TGCTCTCTTCCTTTGCCCCGGGTGGTATTTGTCTTTTTTTGGTTTTTTGTGAGAACTGGGGGGGGGGGGAAAACTCCCCGGGGCCAGAAAAGAAAACGGCTCCTGTCTGTGCTCCTGCTCTCTGAAGATGCCGGTCACAGGTGCTGGCGAAACGTTAGGAAACAAAACTTCCGGAACACCGCCACGCAGCCCGGAAGACCCACCCCTACTACATGTAGACTTGATTTTGTATTACCTATTTTTGTCTGATTTTGTATTACCTATTCTTGTTTTTGCTTCAACATATTATACATATTACATAATTTTAATATTCTGTCATAAAAGTATAGCATAAAAAAAAGTCAAATTACTTTGTAGAACTGCATGCAGAGTAAGTTTTGTTCAGAGAGAACTAGATCTTTCCTGAGTGGGCTATGTGGGTTTTTGTTTTGGCACGGCATGGTCTGGATTCAGAAGCAGGTCGGTGCCCATCCCTAATTCCTGTGACTCATTTCAGAAAACTCCTATCTGCCCACCACACCTTTTTCACATGAGGCTTTAAAATACTGCATGCCTCAGCATTGTGAGATAACATTTTTGGGAGCTCATGACTGGGAGGCCACCTTCTTGAAAATCATTCCTGAACCAACCAAACTTAAAAAGTGTATCCATTCTTACTGAAGACTTCTAAAGCAGGGTATTCAAACTCGAATTGTCATGAGGGCCACTGGAAGATGAGTTCATTAGTCTGAGGGCCACAATGCTGGAGCCTTTTCACGTGTCGATACAAAAGTCTTTAAACTCTCGTGATGCGCATCAAAAAGAATGAGATGATGATGATGATGATGATGATGTATATGCTGCCTGACTCCCAGCGACCTGAGAGGGTGAAGAAGCAAGACCATCCCAGTTGAGGCCTAGGCCAGGACTTGCTGTCCCTGTCAGTGCCAACACTGCAGCTTTACAGTGTGAAGTACAGCTGTGTGCCTGGCAGGGCAGGCTGAGGGGCAGCTGCCCTCCTAACCCTGCATCAAGGTGCCATTGCCACCATCAGGGCCGAGAGCTGCTCCCACTGGCACCTCTGCACTGCTTGCAACAGCTTAACGCTGGCTCTGTACCCAGGCAGTCCTGGTGGAAAGCCTCAATGCAGCCTGTGGAGAGGGTCTGACTAGAATAAGTATTTCTAGCTCTGTGTGTGTGTGTGTGTGTGTGAATAAGAGAGAGAGAGAGAAGGGAAAGTCAGGATGACACGCATACAGATGCATCAGGGTGGAAAGTGTTCTCTGAAGATACAGCATTTGAAAACACACAAACCAAACAATCTTCTTTAACTGTAGTTGTTGTTCAGCCAGAAATTTTGAAGACAGAAAGAAATGAGGGAAGAGTTGGCAGAAAAGACATGGGGACTACAAACAAATTGAAGCACTTGAGGATTTTTAGATAGACACAAGATTCAGAAATAAAAGCGAGGGGATTAATGACCCCTCCCAAGACAGGAATTCAGGGGGGTGACAGCATATTAGGGAAGTCACCATGCCCTGTCACAGGCAGAATGTACATTTCCCACATTACTTTTCCTTGTGTAGTAAAGCTTGTTACACTCTTAGACCAGCAATTAATCTACAATCTCTGTGTTAATAGAAGACAGAATGCTAAGAAAGAAACTTGGAGTTACTTGGCATAGATTTCTGAGGACCGGCTTGGAAACGACCAAAGAGCCCCACTTATACAACCTTTTGTTCCTGCAGGTATGACGATGAGAAGAAAGAGTGGTGCGGCATGTTGAAAGAAATCCGCTACGCCTCCGGAGCCTCTTGCCTTTCTATTGGCCTAAATCTGTTTAAGCTATCAAAGCTGTAAGCTAGATGGATACTTGACTGCAGATGAGGAATTTTTTTTTAATAGTCTCTGGTTTTGTTGTGTAAGCCTATCTTGGACAGAGATTGGTAACCACGGTGAAGTATATTGTCTTAAATGTCTATTAACTCCTGTAAGTATTAAATCCTCCCAGCATTTACTAACCATCTGATGGTGAATACGTTTGGCTATATACAGTGAATAAAGCTGAATTTAACAAAAATTTGTCTCAGACATTAGACCTTGGGCTTCTGTTCATTCTGGTTTAAAATAAATATCAAAGTTTAAAGTAAATAGCAGCATAGCTTGGAACCTCACTTCTGCTCTGATTATAGAAAAGGAGTTCACTGCCATCAGTTTGGCCTTCTATCTTCTTTTTATGCCACCTGTATTTACTTCTCTGCTTACTTCAGAACTTATTCTGAGGATCAGGTTGTAGGAAAGTCAGACTGACTTTCTCCTAAAGTATGGTGATGTTTATGGACTACTGTGAAATGTGGGCACTTCTAGTTTTGGAGCTTGCAATCAGCACAGGGAACATCAAGAAATAAGTGTGGCGCAATAGTTTGTCACACTACATCAGACAACCAACCTTTAAGCCTCAGTTGAAGATGGCGGAATGCCTTGCTCATCCCTCAACTTGCCCTTTTCAACTATTATGAATTGCTTAACTCTGCTGAATTCCCTTCTAAAGTAATTAAGAAATGCAACCTGTCTAGGAGAGGTGCTTCACAACAAACTAAAGGGATCAATGTTTACTGTACATAAAATAGCAAAAAACACATAACTGGCAGCCCTCCCCCAGTGGAAAAGAGGAATGTGAGACTATGGCCTATCGCTAATAACATCTGGTTACCCTCACTGGAAGATCCCCAACAGGGGTGAAACCGGTAACACAATGCCTCCTCATGGTCACTGTAACTGGTAGTACCCCAAAGAGGATTCTAACACGACCAAACTTTTATTTAAAAAATTTAAACAGGACCTGAAGCTGAAATGGGAAAAGTCCTTTATTTCAGTAAAAGAAGATTTAGTGGGCATTTCTGAAAGAATTAGTAACAGTTAAAACACTTATCAAGGAAAGGACATTGCTCAGACCTATGATTTAAGTATTAAAAATACCTCTAGCATAAAAAAGATTGAGAAAGACATTATGGATGTTAAACTATCTCTAGCAAATGTTGAAGATCACAGCAACCTCTGTATTAGTGGCATCAGTGAAAAAACTGAATATAACATGATAGATTATATAGGAATGAAACTTAATGATCACTTGCCAGATCTACATTTCTCTGAAAAAGACATAGTACGTGCACTTAAAATTCTAAGCTTATATAACATCGATAAGATGTTATAGGGGCAAAACACTTCCGGAAGCCTGCAAGTTGAAAGAAAGAAACTGGGGAGGGAACAAAGTTTTCCTTTTTCAAGACATCAAATTACCTTTAAAAGATTTATAGTACTATAAGCTGCCCAGAGTCTTTTAGGAATCAGGGAGACATCATATCGCATCACATCGAATCATAAGCATTGCAAGCCTTTAACAGAATTGCTATTAAAAATAGGAATTTGTTATAAAAGGGGATTTCCGTTCAAACTTATAACTTTGAAACCACAAGAAGAAGAGGTAATTTCTACTATTTCAGGGCATAACTAACTTTGATGAACACTGCCCCTGATGCTGGCCAAAGGAATTATCCTTCAAATACAGCTGCAAAAGGAAAATGAAGAGGGTGAGGGAGCAGCAAAACCCTTCCTCTCTTAGACCATGAAGGGGCTGAGAGCGACCAGTTGTAGATTCACTCCTACTCTAAGATTAAAAGGAGGGGAAGCTGGTTATGGAGGGGAACAGGGGTATTAAGAAGCTGGGGATTGTTACATAGGGGAAGATTTGCGGGTGGGGATGGATATGACAAGAGCTGGGAGTTTCAGAGTGGAAAAGGAAAGAAGAAAGAAGATTGTCACTGGCACAAGCAATAAAAGGTTTGTTCTTATAAGCCCAGCATAAATTCAGATTATTTTATAGGGTGCAAGGTATCCAAAGCAGCAACGTTATTTTATGAGTGATATCCGTAAATTTATTTCACAGAATGTTAGAAGATTGGGGAAGACAATAAAAAAATAGAATATTTTAAAATGCAAGGTCCTTTTCCTCCCTCAATTGTTAAAAGAAACTTAGAGGACAGACAATGTCAAACATTTTAATAAACAGTATTTTTCTCTAGGCACTAATAAGTCAATTTAAACCTGGTTTAAACTTTAAAGTGCAAAGATTTTTGAAGGGTAACAATGGAAGGTTCATATTTACTATGGGAGAATTAGATAAATTACCAGTTACTATTGTTTCAATGTATTCCTTAAATCTGGGACAAGTACAATTAGTATTATAGTTTAAAATTAGTAAAATTTGGGATGGAGAATTTGATATTCAGAGAAGATTTAAACATAAATGCAGGTACCTCTTGGGGGAAAGTGGACATCTTAAAAGTGCAGAAGAAAGTACCTGCCATTGTCTTGTATGTTAACATTACTGGAGACTGAAGGACTGAGTGACATTATGAATCCCCAAATGGATTCACATATCAAATAGACATAAATCTTACTCCAGAGTAGATTATATATGAGTATCTAAATCACTAGTAGACCTAATCCAACAAGCAGCAGCTACATCTGTTCATATAACTGACCTTACTCCAGTATTTTTAGAGCTAAAACCTGAAAATACTGCTTTTTTAGATACATGTCAATTTAATCCAATACTATTAGCTGCCTACCCAGCAAAAAAGCTGTCTCTATTTAAAAAACAAATAATGCAAAGCAAACATCTCCAATGATAACATGTGAAGCAATGAAAGCAATAAGGAATATAATAATCAAAGGAGTATAATTAAAAAGTAAAATTCACACCTATCTTAAGTAGATTTATAAATTAAAGAGTTGTTAGCAAAATATAATAAAATAGATTCTCCAAAGACTAAACGTAATTGAAAAGAGACAGATATCTTAGAGACCAATACAATTTCAACACAGCTTCTATACTCCAACCAAAATATTACAAGTTTGATAACAAGAACTAATAAGTTAAACTAGCAAGTAAGCTTTAAAAAGCTAGGGTAATCACCTGGTCCAAAGGATTCAAGGATATTTTAATTCCAGAATTTTTACAAATATATAATATAATGCACCAATGGAGGAACTCCACTATTTCATGGAGAAGATCCAAAATTACACTTACTTTAAAATTAGGAAAAAACTCACCAGTTACTTCATCTAGGCCCATCTCATTATTAAACACAGGTTACAAATTATACTGAAAATTATTAGCCAATTGACTCTGGTTAATTAAAGGCAGAGTTATATATCCAGATCAAACTGGCTTTATTCCTAAACAGAATATATTTAGTCATATTAGAAAATTATTAAATACAATCTACTTCTGCAAAAGAAATTTTAACTCCCAACTCTGTGTGCTTTGGAGAGATGGAAAGCCTTTGGGTAGGACAAATATTCATTTGAAAAGTTTTAGAGAGATTTGACTCTGAATTTCAAAATAAAATAGATAATATTTATCAGTCTACAAAAGCACAAGCAAAAACAAACAATTCTGATTCAGAAGAATTTCTCGTAACAAGAGACATCAGAGGTGTTCCCTTTTTTCATTACTGTTTATTTAGTTATTGAAATGTTAGCTACTGTATTGCATTATGTGCAAATGCTCACATCCAGGGGATTAGCATAGAAGATGAAACTTATATATTGAATTTATTTGCTAATGACATGATCATGACCCTCTGAAATCCAATATGATCTATTTTATTAAATAACATCAGGAATTTGCCAGATTCTCTGGCTTACCAGTTAATTTGAAAAGATCCACCAGTTTGCATTCATACACCATCTCATAAACAAAAAAATATTTCCAGCATCTTAAGACACTCCCCTTGAACACCAAACATTTATTCATGAATTGATATACCAAAGAATTTAACTGACCCTGTTTGGAAAAAAATAAGAAAGGATATGAAAAAATGGAACAAGAATTATCTAAGCGTTTTAGATAATATACCAGCAATAAAGATGACGACACTCCTCAAATTGATGTATTTATTTCAAACTCTCCCCATAGATATTCCCAATAAAATTGTTTCTAACTGGCAGAAACAAATTTTATTATTGCTCTAAATCAACTTGGAATAGAATAAAAAGAAACATTCTATACATGTCACAAAACAGAGGATGAGGTATTCCCTGCTTAAAAATATGTTATCAAGCAGCCTAGTTGACACATGGAAGAGTTTTTTTATAATGGAGGATTCAACAAGACAATGGGTTGGGATGGAAAATATTAAGTTCCGGCATAAGAATTTAAATTTGTTCTTCTCTTCCCAATAGATCTTTAATAATTTTACGTAAGTGATCTGCTGAATTTACAGGATGAGGTTTTCAGAATTTATTCCATGCATCTCACCTTTACTTCCATTGATAACATACCCAAATTGTAACAAACATAGAATTATACAACTGAAATTTTGGAAAAGGAAAGGTCTTTATGAAATAAAAGATTTCTACAAAAATTTCCCACCATATACTGTAAAGTATAGAAGAATGAACAACAATCAGAACAAAAGTCCCCTGGTTTCTTTTGTGGCAGATCAATTCAATATTACAAAATAAAAAATAATGGAAATTCCAGACATCTATCTCGTTTTGAAAAAATTTTTTTTTTTTTAACACAGAACCTAAGGGTGTAATTTTGCATATGACTTTCTGAAATAGATTATGGTGAGGGCTAAAAGAAGTCTGGGACTTAGAGGAAAAATTAGATGATATTACTTGGCATCCTCTATGGCAGCATGAACAATTTTTATCAGGATCTATACAGGAAGTACATCTTAAACTTTTAGATTGGGAGCATCAAACTCCAGTAAGAATCTGACATATATCTTTTCGATTTTCAACAAGATGCTAGTGAGGCTGTCAGTCAAAGGGAACATTCTTTCATCTTTGGTGGCAATGCAAGAAAGTATCAGAATTTGGAAGAATGTGTTTAAATAAATGCCTTACATAATCAAACAATAGATTCAATTCTCTCCAAAGCTAGGTTTGCGACACATATTTGGTGGCCAGAATAAGAGATTGCAAAATAAAAAAACTCATTAAGTTTTTACATATAGCAGCCAATTAAGTTATTGCTAACAATGGAAATATTTGGATAATATTTCAAAGGATGGATCGCAGGATGTACGACAAGCCAAAGTAGTGAATCATTGTTTTACAAGGAATGGTGGAATTTTATTATTTATGTAAGAGAGAAGCATTTTGGAAACAGCTTGTATCAAACATTATGGGCACGTTAAAATGTACAAGCACTATGGAAATGCTTAAAACTTCAAATGAAAATGTAATGAAAAAAGACAACAATCCTTTGATTGTTACACAATGCCCAGCATACTAAAAAATACCAATTACCCTTGTATCTTTGTTATTTTAAAAGGTGCAACCACAAATCCTAGGAGAAATTGCATACAGAGAAGAAAAAATTACAGTGAGTTGTGTATGTGCGTGTCAAATTTCTGTGATCCATTTCCCAACAACCATAGCCAGTATGCCCAGTGATTGCAGCTAAAAGGCACTGTAGTCCAACAACATCTGAATGGCCATGAATTGCATACTGTGACTTTAGCCATTATTACTGGAAAGCTATGTCTGTTGGTCATCAAGCACTACTAAAGTGGTGCTAAAATGCCAGTGTAGAATCTGTCACCTTAAAACTTGACATTTTGATGGATCACCATTTTATAGCAGAAACAGGTGCTGAAGAGTCTCAGCTTCAGTTAGTGCTTAATTCAAGATTACTTAATTCATAATTTTTGGGGGAAAAAAAACTTCTGGATATCAACATGACCCAGTCTTGAATGCCAATCCAGCTGAAGGCACAAACAATTTGTAGTACTTCATTCAGAAATACATTCTCATATGCACTGGAAGACTGACATGTGCCATACGTGTGCCAGCTTTTTCTGCATGCTGTAGTTTCCCTAGTTTACCGGGGGTACTAACAGGCCTTGTGTTTTATAATTTACATGAATCTTGACTCACCTAGAGGCCCACCTCTCTTTGATTATTTCTGCCCATCAATAAGAACTGTCAGGATCAGTATGCTCCAGGTCCCACCAGTGAAGCAGTGCCAACTTGTGGGACTCGAGATGTGCCTTCTCTGTGGCTGCCCCTGCCCTTCGGAACAAGATTCCCCATGTCTCTTGAACTTTAGGAAACAAAGACCCAGCCTTTGCAACAGGATGTGGGACAGGGTGATTTGTGACTCTGTTGTTTGCATTGCTGGGGGTTGTGTATTTCCTTACTGTTGGCTAGGTTAGCCTATTTGGAATTGTTCTTTCACATTTGTCCATCTAGAGTTGCTCCAGCTATTAGGATGGTTAACAAATTGAGCACATAAATACATTAAATTCTGATTGGCTGCACCTGAATGCGCAAGGCAACCAACCATAAAAAATAAGCCTCACATTATAAGTAATTATGAATGGTAGCTCAAACTGAATAGGCCTGAATACATAGCAGTGCAGCTTTTGAGTGAGTCTATTCCACAGCACAGGAGCTGTATGAGGAGGCCCTTCCCTGTATGGCTGATACTGATGAGGGTGCCTTTAGGAGTGGCTCTTCAGCTGCCTTTCATTCCTGGAGAAATTCCTAACCAAAGAGTTGTCCTTCAGATAGTCAGGTCAGAAGGCATTTAGCACTTTTAACAGTGGAAATACATACCTTAAATTGTGCCCAACATTAAATGTCAACTGTTGCAGGTCTTCCGACATGAGGATAATGTATTTCTGATCTTGGGTACTGGGTAGCAGCCTAGCCACTACATTTTGCGCCAAAAGCAGCTTCTAAGCACTCCTCAAGGATAGGCTCATGTGCTGTGCAGCCTAGTAGTTAACTGATATAACCATGGCTTATGTAATTTGCCAGGTCAGGTTGGCCCAAGAATGGTCACACCTAGTGCAAGAAATGCAATTGGGCAATGCGCTTTGCCCTCTGCAATTCCAAAGATGTATACCTCCAGATGCAACATAAATGGTCTCCATTAAAAAAAAATAAGTTTATTGAAGGCTGAAAATAATTAATTTTCAGTGTTACAGTCCATATAAAAAAAATTCATGGTTGTATTTTTTTCTTCACATTTGGGTATCAAAGCTTTTCAAATATTTTCTTTTCTAAATATTCAATCTTTGCTTCTGTGGATGACAATTCCATGGAATTCCATTCATAGTGAGGGATCTGAAAGAGAAGTCTATGATTAAAATGAAAGTCTACTACAAGTAGTCCTCGACTTACAACCACAATTGGGACTGGAATTTCTGTCGCTAAGCTATGTGGTTAAGTGAGTTGCACTTGATTTTACGACTTTTGCGGTGGTTGTTAAGTGAATCTGCTTCCCCCATTGACTTTGCTTGTTGGAAGCCCCCTGGGAAGGTTACAAATGGTGATCATGTGACCCCAGGATGCTGCAACTGTTGTAAATATAAGCTAGTTGCCAAGCGCTCGAATTTTGATCACGTGATTGTGGGGATGCTGCGATGGTCGTAAGTGCGAGAACCAGTCATAAGTCACTTTCTTCAGTGCCATCATAATTTCGAACGGTTGTTAAATGAATGGTCATAAGTTGAGGACTACCAGCATTAAATTGTAGTAATATTCAATCCCCTCCACTTTCCTTGGTATATTATTATGTGGGTACTTTAAAGTTGGTTGTAGCCTTTGTGCAAGAGGTTGAATATTTATTGTAAGAAACGTTATCCTGAAAATTCTGAGATTTTATTCAACTTTTACAAAACAGAGAAGACACCATACCTGAACAACCTGATAACCAAGAATCTCCAAATGCCGCTTTTTTATGGCCATATTTCCATTGACATGATTTGAATTCTTGCAGAAAGCTTCTGAATCAAGGAATTCCACAGCAATTCTGAATTAAATACAATTTCAAATTTATTTTCATATAACCAAAGATAAAGCTTGCAGGTATTTTAAAATCACTTTATGTACTCATAACATCTGTTGTTTTAACAAAAGCCCAGAAATTTTTCTCTGTAGGCAGTTATAATTCTATTATAAAACTATAACATTGGCCTGATATTAAAAATTAGCATCTGATTAAAATTTCTGAATTAAGTTTTACAATAATTTAGCAGTAATGCCATCTTTTATAACATAAGAAAGCTATATCAGAAAACATATCTATAACTGGCTTCAGTGAGTATTATCTCATCTTAAAATTTTCATCACAGGCATAAAAAAATTATTGTATGTGGTGGAAATGTAATAATATTAAAAACATTGTAACTTGGTTTATGCTAAAATAATAATATGCTTTAATTCTAACCCCTAAATTACTTCCTACCTGAAATTTTGGATGCCAAGTTTGGTTACCTGCAATACTCTGGCACTTGTTAAATGGTACACGAAGTTGTTTAAGACTTATCTTTATGGACCAATTGCCAAAGATATTTATATTATTTTTTGTAATTTTATTGGCAAGTAGTTCATTTTTATTTCATATATTAACAATTCACCAATACATCATTATTCAATAAAGATTTGATTCCACTATGAATTTTATGTAAGTGCTAAATCAATGGGGAACTGTTCAATTTAGAGTATATATGTCTTCTTTGGATTATATATTTTGATTTTGTTTAAATTATATTACTTATTTGGAAAATAATACAATATATATGCTTGTGTGAATTAGGTGTTGGCAGAAAAGTGGCAGACTTTTATATAACTAGCTTCAAACCAGAGATTGTACCAGTTGTGCCCATTCCTGGATTGGGAGGCTCTACTCTGCTACTCATGTCCTGGTCACCTCCAGAATGGATTACTGTGAAGTGCTCTTCATGGGGCTTCTCTTGAAGAACATCCAGAAGCTACAACTGGTGCAAAGTGTAGTGACGCAGGCAGTTACGTGTGCTCCTTGATCAGTACACATTACACCTCTACTCCACGAGCTACACTGGTTGCCAGTTTGTTTCCAGGTTCAATTCAAGATGCTGGTAATGATCTATAAAGCCCTACATGGCATGGGGCTGGGTTATTTGAGAGACTGCCTCTCCCTAGTTACATCTACCCATTCCATCAGGTCCAGCAGAAGAGGCATATTATAGGTCCCATCAACAAAGGAGTGTCATCTGACAGGACCCAGGAGGAGTGCCTTCTCTGCCACGGCATCTGCCATGAGGTTAGATTGGCCTCAACCCTGCTGGTCTTTCGGAAGGCTCTGAGGACATGTTTTTGTCATCATGACCGGGGGTCTGGTGGAGGTATGCAGACTACAAGCTGGTTATACTGTTAGTAATGTATGGATTGCGCTCCCCTGCAGATTATATTTTATGGGTTTAATTATTTTAATGATTTTTATTTTGGTTGTGTATTTGTAATTGTTCATTGTTTTCTGTTATTTGATTGTGTAAGCCTCCCAGAGTCACATATGTGAGATGGGCAGCTATATAAATTGAATAAACAAACACAGGCAAAAATGCCACCTCTTAACGAATATCCCTGTTCTTATTATCACTGAGTGAAGTTGTAAATACAATGTGCTGTCACCTGCTCACAGGACTGCCTGGAACTGAAAGTCTAGCGAAAACCCTTATGACCCTGCATGAGACAACACAAAAACTGCACGATCACCTTTGAAATCCTGGTGGTAGCCCTTTCTTTCCATAGGAGTGACCAGCTTCAACACAACCTGCGTTGTCCAAATTAGCAACAGTAGCATGTTGGTCGATATATGGAATGGGTTTCTTGTTTTTATCAACAATAAATTCAAAATCTGAAAGACATGAATGACCATCCGTAATGTGAAGTTAAAATCATACCTTGTCACTAATATTTTCAAATGGGTATTACTTCTGCAGTACTAGAATATTATAAAGTAGGATTGTACAGTGGTTCAGGTCTGAAGGCAATGAAGGGCTTCATCAGAGCACTTGGGGGGCCTGAATGTAGCATCTGCCTGGAACTCCTAGGTTGGCTTTGATATGCAGCTGCAGAGTCCTAGAAAAGGTTAGACCTAGGCCAAGGAATTGCTCTTAAGTGACCAATGTGTATGGTTTTAAAATTAAGGATGTCATGTACCTACAGGATCATAACCATTTGGACAAAACTCTCAAGGCTTGTATAAAGCAAATGTTAAAATGATACTCAGTTTTTCAAACAACTCACCGATTCTATAGTAATAAGAAGTGAGTACAGAACATCTGGCAAAATGGCTTCTTCCTAGGATTTCTCCAAGTATTATGTATATCTGCTGTTGTAACAGATTGGACAAATCAGTCTCTAGGAAAAAACAAAGCGAAGAAAACAAACACAAAGTTAGAAATGAGAAGACAGAACAGAGCCCCATCTGTTATTTCACAGAGGCAAGGCCTAGGTATTATCAGAGACTTTCTACCATCCTTGCCCATTTCTGAAAAGATCACAGTTCTCCAGAGGAAGCAGATCCAAGGTGACAAAGGAGATCTTTATCTAACTTCACAGCAGGCAAAGCTTCTAATTCTGCCATGTCCAAGTAGCAATAAACCCAATTCTATAAAAAATTACTCAAAGGAATTGTAGCCTTGATGATGCTAATGCTATTTCCGAAGTTGAAATATTCACTTTTGTCCTGCAGCTGCTCACAGAAGCGTTTATGAAACCACGGGATCTGAAGCTCAGGGCACTCCAAACAGACAGCTCGATTCAGTTCCATCAGCTGAAGGGTGGACTTCCTTGCTACCTTCCTTGGCAGAACTGTTTTTAAAACATCCAGAAAAAATAAGCATAGCAAGGCAATATTTAGAATATGACATTGTCTTAACCATGAATAAAAAAGAAGGCACTTTTTAAAGCAAACTACTTCGCTGAAATGTTTTAGCATCACACTACTTACTTCAATGTGATAGGTATGTATAGATATCATCCAGAAATACAAAAATTAACAACTAGCACCTTATTTTTAAGAATAAGAAACACACTAAAAGTAAAACAAAACCAACTTCTAAAAAGTTCAATTCAGGAAGTATCGAATTCATACAATTTTGTTTTACTTCATGACAGCCTCTGAAGGAGATTCTGAGTGATGGCTGCTCCATGTAGGCAGTTACAATTAAATAAATGCAGCAAAAGTAAACAGCACTATTCTGATTTTTATTATTTGGCTGGTTTTGTTTGAATGTATTCATGAAGCACTTAGCAGCTGTTTATCCATGTGTGGGTAAACATGGAGTCACCTAAAGGCCAGATGTATAAAATGACTAGCAGTTTGAAGCTTTCCTTTGTTACAGGTTAATTTTTCACACAAGATCATTGCTGAAATACAACCTATTTTTTTAATATATAGATGTAAAGATTTATTTGGAAAAAAAAACTATAAATGGGCATGGGAAAACTATAGATGAAATGTACACTTCAGTGGAAACAATACAGGTCCAACCAATATAAAATTCCACCCAACTCTAAAGTGGAGAAACTATTTTGGCCCATTTTTTAGATCATGAGAATATGGGGTATCCCCAGACTAACCAACATAATATTAAAAAAAGGCTTAAATAAAAACAGGTGTAGAAATTGCTGATGGAGCAAAAACCCAATAAGTTTAACATGATTTAGTATCAAGTCAATGCACAAAGTTACATTATTTGGAATTGTCTTTTAAACTTTCTTTTCCAAGAGTTGAAGAATTTAACAAGACCTGAGTATACATTCTTAAAAATACAAGAGTTATTTCTGAAACCTGACAAAAAGCAGAAATTAGCACCTACTTTGAAGCTCAGCATCCAACTTGGTGAGGAATTCAATATTAAATATAGCCTTTATCACATTCTCTGGAAAATACCCAGCAGAAGCCAAAGCAAAACCAAACGATACAAGAAGAGAAGGCTGAAGATATTCTGTACAAAATAAATACATTAATGCATACTATTAAAAACCGTATTTTTCTAGAAGTGGTAAAGCAGATAGCAAACATAAATTCTCTAAAGCAGTGTTTCTCAACTTTGGCAACTTTAAGATGGGTGGACTTCAAGCCCCAGAATTCCCCAGCAAGCATACCAGAATACTGCTTCCAACAGCATGCTGGCTGGAGAATTCTGGGAGTTAAAGTTCTCCCACCTTAAAGTTGCCAAGGCTGAAAAACTCTGCTCTAAAGGAATCCCAAACTCTCACAGAAATACACAAATTGAATATATCTGTGAACATTTGCTTCCTTAACATTATCTAGCTTCCTGAAAGCTAAATATTTAACATTTTTAAAAGGTTTAGACAGGAGTAGAAATAAAATATTTCACAGCCTTACTTATTGTGAATTGCTTTATTTTAATTTTATCAATGTTTTTAGTTTAATATATACTAAGCTACCAAGAATTATTATGATTATATGTCATACAATCAATCATTCAATATAAAGAATGAGTCGAAAAAGAGCAGTTCTGAAACTGTCTTAACTCTTCATTCTTCTTCTTGATTTTGAAATCTCTATGCGTTTTCCAAACTATAAATTTACTTTTTTTGTGTAATATCAGAATACCTTCATTTTCTTTTCTTTCCCTTTTGATATTTCTGGTTTTTATTTATTAAAAAATATCTTTACACTGGTCCTCATTTGCAAGATGCCCAAAATGGTCTATAATAATCCCCAAACATTTGAGATTAGAAACAAAGCAATCCATTAAGAAGTTGGGAATTCATGACTGAGGAAGGCCAAGGTAAAATGGCCTTTAAGAGAGATTATCAGCATTGGGGCTTACTGTTGCTGAGAAGTGTTTTAAATACATTCAGCATCCAGCATGTATAACAGAAGATCCAATATGGCACAAGTTAATACATTTATTTGTAAAGAGCCTACCATCAGTTCAGTCATATTGCTTGGGTGTCTTTCCACAGCTAAATAACCACCATGGAAGGAAGGTCATGATGACAAATATCACTCGATAGGGCAAGGCCTCATTTTTTTTGTTCATGGGGTTTACATTACTTTTGAGAGAAGAACAGATTCTATACCCACATTCTCTCCACACAGCTTATGTAAGAAAAAACATACTTAATATGTATATTACTCCTTTATTCACTCAGACCTTTCCAGCTGATTGCTTCACACTGAGTCATGTCTTATAAAGTTTTGCATTTATGCTTATGGCACTTTTGCAACACATTTTCTAAAACCAAGCAACTTTGTAAGCATCCTTAAAGAAAATAACAACATAAAATGCTCTTAAAAATCCATTATTTCTATCAGCGAGAGGTGTATTTTCAGTGACCATTTTAATGTGTTTCTACTTAGCACTGTAGTTATTTTTGAAAGCTGTAGAAAGGGACCATGCCCACATCATGTCTCACTCTTTAAATTTCCTGTCTAATAAATACATTTCAGAAGTTGGAACACTCTCTCTGAACACAATAAAAAAGCCCAAGTACATATATTTGTTTTCTTTCCTTTTAAGAAAGAGACAGAGAGAAAAGCTTATGGTTTGACCTTGCATTTTCTTTACATGTTGATAACTGGCACCTCAGGAAAAGTGTGAGCTGACAATCATTTCTATGATCAACTTACCCAAGTGAAGGCTGATGTGTTTAATGCAAGCCTCAAAAAATTTCTCAGCTTGAGGAGGTTCATAATTGAAGGAAGAAAATAGAACAAGAATAAAATGAACTTCTGAATAGTAAATCTAGAGAAAGTAAAGAAAATGAGAGAAATCAGTTCATTTGTTTGTGCCAGTTTTGCATATCACTCAAAAAACAACAGGATCTGAGGTTACAGCTATCCATCAACCTCTCCGAGAATTCTTAAAGCCCAGGAGGGTTTAGAGGGGAGAAATCTTTCAAATGTTCTGGTCCTAAGGCTTTTAAGTCTTGATACTTCTCACTAGCACTTTTAATTATACTCTGAAACCAATGGGTAACTTGGGAAGCTATTGTAATCAGGGAGTCACATACTTTTGTAATCAGCTCCAGGTGTTTGCTTGCAATATTCTGAGCACTTTTCAAAGGCAAAGGCCATGTTATAGTAGTCCATATAGGATTTAACTAAGTATGAGTCACTATAGATGTATCACCTCAAGGAACAGATATAGGTATTTGTTTTATAAACAGAATCCCGCCCACCAGCAAAACCTGGGTGCCTAGGTTCAGATCTGAATTCGGAAATAAATCTAAATAGGAAACTTCACCCTAAGAAGCATAAGCTGAATTCTGATTTTATTTCCAATCTTTACCTAAAGTGCAAGAGACAGAATGGATGGTACATGCAAATGAGGAATCAATATTTTTTTAAAATAGTAAAATTATTTTCCAAGCAAATAATTTTAATCAGTAGTTATTAATTCAATTAATATTTAGTATTTTTCCACAGCCCTGCTCTTTTTTGGAGTTGCTTCTGATAGATATGTACAGTGGTGCTTAAAAGTCTGTGAACCCTTTTGAATGTTCAACATCTCTGCATAAATATGACCTAAAACACAATCTGTTCTTCACACAAGTCCTAAAACTAGACAAGGAGAACCCAATTAAGCCAATGAGTCAAAAACATTATATTGGTTCATTTACTTATCAAGGAAAATGATCCAAAGCTACATAATTGTGTGTGGCAAAAGTATGTGAATTGCTAGGATCATCAGTTCATTTGAAGGGGAAATTAGAGTCAGATGTTTCAATCAGTGGGATGATAATCAGGTGTGAGTGTGGGAGGTCCTGCCTTATTTAAAGAAGAGAATTCTGGGTATTCACTATGGAAGTTTGATCTTTACAACACATGGCTCAAACAAAGGAGATTTCTGAGGACCTCCAAAAAGCAGTTGCTGATGCTTACCAGACTGGAAAAGACTACAAAACTATTTCCAAAGTCTACTGTTAGGCAGATTGTGTACAAATAGAGACAAATTCAACACCACTGTTAACCTCCCCAGGAGTGGTCAGCTAACCAAGATCAAAGCATGTAATATTCTGGGAGGTCTCAAAGAACCCCAGGGTAACTAAAGGCCTCTCTTGCATTGGTGAATGTTGATGTTCATCAGACCACCATCAGGAGAGCACTGAACAATGGTGTGTATGGCAGGGTTGCAAGGAGAAAGCCACTATTCTTCAAAAAGAACAGTGCTGCCCATTTACAGTTTGTGAAAGACCCAGTGGATAAGCCAGAAGGCTATTGGAAGAATGTTCTATGAACAGATGAGACCAAAATATAACTTTTTGGCTTGAATGAAAAATGTTATGTTTGGCAAAAGGCAAACACTGCATTCCAGCATAAGAACCTTATCCCATCTGTGAAACTTGGTGGTAGCGGTATCATGGTGTGGGCCTGCTTTGCTGCATTTGGATGAGGATGGCTTGCCATTATTGATGGAATTATGAATTCTGAATTGTATGAGCAAATTCTATAGAAAAATGTCACAGTATCTGTCTGTGAACTAAAGCTCAAGAGAAAGACAATGCAGCAAGACAATGACCCCAAACACACAAATTCTACAACCAAAGAATGGTTAAAGCTAAAGTTAATGTTTTGGAATGGCCAAATCGATGTCATAATCCTAGAGACATGTTTTGGGAGGACCTGAAGCGTGCAGTTCATGAGAGGAAGCTTACCAACATCCCTCAGTTGAAGCTGTTCTGTAAGGAGGAATGGGCTAAAATAGTCACTGGAAATGTTTAGCTGCAGTTATTGCTGTTCGAGGAGGGCACACCAGTTACTGAAAGCAAAGTTTCACATACTTTGGTCACACACAAATATGTAGTTTTGGATAATTTTCCTCAATAAACAAATGAACAAATATAATGTTTTTGACTCATTTGTTTAATTAAGTTCTCCTTCTCTTTAGGACCTGTGTGGAAAACAGATAATATTTTAGGTCATATTTATGCAGAAATATTGAAAATTCAAAAGGGTTCATGAACTTTTAAGCACCACTGAACATACAGACCCATACACATGTGTCTGTGTGTGTATATTATGGCAGTGTGCCAGCAACAGGAAAATGTATCACAGCTGCTATGTGCATTTTATTAGGAAACATTTTCCTACCACTCAAATGAAAATGCTAAGAAGTCAGGACTAGTTCAGATTAATTATATACAGTTTTCACTAATTTCATCTGAATGACCAACCCCACATTTTTGTATTAAAAAAAAATCAAATTGTGTTGTCAGATGAATATGAGATTGTATATATCCATTATTTCTGCATCATGGTCATCATCATACAATCTATAACAATGGATATGTGTATTTCTGGACTAGAACGAACACATTTTAAATCATTTAGAATAAATGTATAATCTGTACTAAACATGATTTAAAGGAGGAGCTCTGACAATTCAAGTGACTACAAATTCATTCAAGTAAAAAAGAGAAAGTCTAAAAAGAACATCACAAAAGTATAAATTAGTATGGTATTGTACAGCTGGAATTAAAAGAAAAAAGACTGTACCAGGAACATGGAAACATATAATACTATCTTCTAGCAACTCATATTCTTTGTCCACCTAGCTCATGTTGTTCACATAACTAGCAGCGGTTCTCCAATATTTCCTAGATCTAATCTAGATGCCACAACTGAACCTTCAGTGTGTACAGCAAATACTCTATTACAGAGTTGCAGCCTTTCCCTCGCTGCTCATTTTATCACTCTCAAGAGAGATACAATGATATTCATTTGTACCTTATCAATATGTTCAGTGGCAACAGCAGCTATTTTATCAAGTAACAATGTACAACGATAGTTTGTTCCAATGAGAAAGGATGCAAACTTTACAACATTTGAACGTGTAATCTGATCTCTCAACTGTTGTAAAGCAACTATGGTCTTCTCAAGAAGCACTTCTTGAAACCATTTCCCATGGACGTATCTTAATTCCTTCAGCAAAAGATCCAAATTGTTGATTTTCTCAAGTCTCTGAAATGCACAATTGTTAATTTTTTGCAAAAATGACCCGTATTGTCCAAAAAGGCTCTTCTGATTTGACTTGTGATGTTTCATCCATTTTAGAAGAACTATGGTAAAGCGATTGAGTTGACTCAGATTGCACTGAGTTATGACAGCATCAATTCGTGAGACTATAGCTTCATCCATGTAAGGAGAAGGAAGATTAGAAAGAATGTGAACCAGCAAGATAATATCATTGGGGACTGTTTTAACTTGTAAATGGCTGGAATTGAAACAAAGAAATCCATTAATAAAACAAAAAAACTGAAAGAAATCCATTAATAATAAAATGAATATACAAGATATACATATATTTTTACCACATGTGTTTGTACTACATATGATTTTCAGCTAGAACACATGCGTACTTATTAAAATGTACTGAGGACCACTCTCACAGCTATACAATACTGTAATGTTAGAAAACTGGAAACAAAGAGCAAAAAAATAACAGGTTTAGCAACTCACAGTATAAAACTTTGATTAAATAATTTAAATCATTAATCCTATGAACTTTAGCTAAGGATTTGATTAACATTATCTATTAAATTTCATAAAAGTAAAAACAATTTGTCTGAATAAGTATATCCCCTTTATTTTTAGATGATGCATATATGTTGTTCTGAGCATAATTTTACAAATGAAGGACATATTCTATAGACAACCATCTCTGTAAAGATGTCCTAACTGCAGTTTTTTATAAACATATTAAAAGCAACACATTAACTAATTCAAATTGCACTCCTAATGAAAACAGAAAATAAAAGTGGGAGATAGAGGTGGTATCTAAGTTATGTCCTGTCAATGGAAACCGCTTCCCAGGAGAGTGGAGCAGAAGCCATTTTTAACATTTCCTCCACTTCATTGGTCCCTGAGCTTTTACAACTAAATCTGCTATGAGGGATTGGATGATTCCCTAGAAAAGATTTAGAGAGAAGGGGGGAATTTTCAGGGGAAGGTAAACTTGGACATTCAACCAGAACATTCCAGATGAGTCACAGTCTATCTGAACCCTGCATTGATACAGAAATACAACATGCATTGAAAGTTGGAAACAGGAAAAAAATGAGTCCAAAATCTTCATCCTTAATTTTTAAATAGCTGCCACCACAATTATGATCCAAATCCTCCAATGCTTATGTTCTTTGCATGTTAGAAAGAATTTACTTTCCAAATATTGTATGAGTTGGCTGATGAGCTAATAAACATTTTTACAGGTCAAGTAGTCTGTGAACCTATTTGCAAAGCTGCATTAAATTTACAGATCTGAACAGTTCCATCACTTCTTTAAAGCACACCTGTATTTCATCAGTGCTCAACCGTGCTGTCTAGACTTCATGGAAATACTGACCAAGCTGACTCCATGGACTCATCATTTATGCTCCCCTACACCCATCTGATGCTCCTATCGCTTCTTTTAGGTTTTTATAATTCTTTTTAAATTTCCATTTGGTTAATTTTTTTACTTTGCTGTTTGTATTTTTTTTAATTTGCATTTGGCTAGTGCTTTAGAAGTTAAAAGCAATTAAATTTAGGATTCCAACATGAAATAAAGCCTGAATATAAATATAATGGATTAATAAACTGCAAGTTTGAGAAATTATATATGCTGGAAAAAAAAGTACCTTCTTACCAAATTGACAATTGTTGTAATTTGGAATATATGTGAGATTTGGGCCAATTCAGCATGGCTAGCACATTTGTCACTCTGAAAAGCTCAAATACTTTATACGTATCCAAGTGTTTGTGAAAGAGAGAGGCAATCCTGAAACCCAAAAAGATACGCATTTCAGCATAAAGTTTCAATCTAGAATGTTAATGAATCTTAAATAAAAAATAACGATAAAGCCCTCTTCTTCCACAATTGCGATCTGCATTTTTAATATGTATTAAGATAAAAATTAGAAGCAAAAGCTCTTTGCTCATTTTATGCACCAATCTTCACTTAGGTTTACTGTTGCATTTTGTGCTAGACTGTGCAATATGCACATACAGTGGTACCTCGGGATACGAACGCCTCTACTAACGAACATTTCGGGTTACGACCAGCTTCGGCA